GGCTTACCAATGTAAGCAAAGCAAGACAATTGTACATGGCGCTGTCCAAGAACCACAGAGTGACTATAGATGTAGAACTTAAAGGATATCCGAGTGTAAAACTGCACAGTAAATAAGATTTAAAGCAGTCTGAAGATTTACAATTAAAAACACACAAGTTACCAAATGCCACAGACTTTCTATCGTATCTGTTAACATGTTGCTGCAAATTGATTCAGAGCATTTAACACTTCAGAGGGTCATTAATATGGACAAAATAAATCATTGGACATCCTCTTCCCTCCCTGAACGACCTGTACAGCACTCGCTGTCTCAAGAGGGCACGCAGCATCCTGCAGGACGGCACACACCCAGGACGCCGGCTCTTTAAGCTGCTGCCGTCTGGCAGGAGGTTCAGGCTGCTGAACAGCCCTAATCAGTGCTAACAGCTGACCTGATTGGCTACCTGCCTGGACTTTTGGGGGGGGTAACGACAATAACAATAATAATATTTATATTTGCAACAAGGCGCAATGATTATAATAATGTGCAATACACTTATTCTTCTTTTTATACTTAATTTAAGTTACTGTGTCGTGTCGTACGCAGTTTTTCAGTTTCGTTGCACTATTGTACTCTGTATGACTGTGATGACAATAAAGAGATATCTTATCTGATGACATCACCACAGCCCTCAGCAGGATGAACATGATTGTGAGACTTTCTGAGAACATCGAGACGACGTGTTCCAAATAGTCGTTCTAAAGATATGATCAACTGACACGAACGTCACTGCTTCATTACTATCATCACACAAAGACATCCTGATACTGCTTCGACTTTGGTTTTATTTGGTTTTACCTTTTTCAAAATTATTCCTCAATCAGAGCCCGGATGCATCTCCTGGTAATTGTGACATATCTGATGGTATCATGACTAAAGAAATATCCCTCCATACTTACAAATGTTTACTGAACAAATCCGAGTTATAAACAGTCATTTGATGTGTTTGGGGCAGCTGAGCTGGTTACAACTCGTGAAATGAAGTTTTGATTACATTTGTAGGGGTTTGTTTCATCTTCAAGGTTTAGGGTTTGAAATAAAACAATAAAGCTACATCAGAAACAGACACCATACAGAGAGCCGAACATTCCCAGGAGCTTTGAAGAGCATGTTCAGGAATGATCTTAAACAGAGTGTATGTGTGGATTAGTCTGTCTTTGAGAAGCAATCACTGTGTAAACTAAAACCATTACAACAGTGTTATATGTCTGCGCTGGGGGCAGCGCTCTGCTACCACTAAAGATTATTTTTAAATGATTATTTAACCAGGGATCTGTCCCAGCAGTGTGTACGCTTCGCCTGACTGTGATGTAAAATCAACATTTATGAGACACAATCAAATCACTGTTTGTGCATATTTGTCATTTGTTGTATGACAACAGAAGCTGAGTGATGATTACATGAGAGCAGCCAAACTGTGTGTTTGCATCCGTGTGTGTGGTCC